GGGCGCTATATCCTCGGGAAGTCATCCCGACCCGGGCCTGGCGTGGAATCAGGCCCCTGCTGGAATGGTCAACTCTGAGTTGTCCATGAAAAACAACTTTCCTCGGCGTCATTCGGAGCACAAAGTTGCTGGTCTTTCAAGCGGCCAGCGGACATTGCCGTATCATACGCGCCAACCTAATCCTACCCCTGGCTTCTCGCATCAACCGGCTCACGAGACAGGTCCGTCTTGGTCGGGCCCTCCAAGTACTCAAGGGCCCCAACTGGGCTCTACCGCAAGCCCACAGGCAACAAATGTGGAGTTTAAGGAGAAGGTGCTGACATGGGCTCATGGTGTTTACGTTGACCTACTGGCATCGATTCACCAAGCACGACGGAATAGTATCTCGAATGCGGCTGCTGAGGGACAAAGTCAGAGATTCTTGAAACCAAGTATATACCCGAAACCGCCGCGTCAGCCTGGTCTGGATTTTTCCAGCACCAATGCTCTTGAATCGAGTCGTCACAATAACTACTCTACGGGCCAGTATGACCATGTTCAGAGGAACAACACCATTGGCAACTTAGGCCAGAACGATACTGCCAGCTTTCAAACTGGCCGTCGGTATGAACGTGCTTCACTGTCCCAGTTCCCGCAAGCTGCAACCGATGTACAGATGCTCGACCGGCTCCGCCACACTGGACGGTTTACTGCATCAACGGCAACGGCTCGTTTCGGTGCCGCACCGTTGAACGAGGGTTCTATCACAGCGAATGCTGTATCCTCTTTGGAGATGTTATCCCATCTCTGTGCGGAAAGTGGTTGGGAGTGGATTGATGGCATGCTTCTTGGAGGCTGTCTCGCTTATGGGCTTGGGGATTATCATAAGGCCATGCGTTGGTATACTAGAATCATCGCTCGAGATGCAACGTGAGTATGCGATTGTCTGTAAGTAGCTGAGTTGTCTAACCAAGCACAGGCATGTGGAGGCGATATCCAACCTTGCGGCCACGCTCCTGGCGCTGGATCGCCGAGAAGAGGCGCTGCAACATTGGCTTCGTGCCGTCAAGCTCCGCCCGAGTTTCTTTGAAGCGGTAGAACACCTGATCGGTCTTTTGTGCAGCAGCCAACGCGGCAAGGAAGCAGTCAACATCATTGAGTTCGTACAGAATTCCATACGCTCCCCTAAGAACGGCGATTGTTTCGCGTCCGACGAACACGCGAGTGAACCCGAGAGCGATGCGGAGAGCAGAGCGTCGAGTGCGTCCGATCTAGGTTCCTACGAGAAAGCGTCCTTTGATTACGATGACGACTTTGGTAGGTCGGTTGCCGCAAATCGGGGCTCGGCAGATGTTGGGTCAGCTGGATTTGGTTCCAGCGGCTACGCCATACCTGGCTGTGATAATGGCAGAATGCTGGCTCTCGTCCACGCCAAGGGAAACATGCTATATGCTCTGGGCGACAATGCTGCAGCTGCCGTGGCCTTTGAAGATGCGATTCTGATCGCAGCTGGAAGAAGGCGCCATGGGATCCAAAGCCTGATTAAACAGATATTCTCCGCCTTCACGCAGGGTACGCATCACGGTTACCCCGGCCCAGAGCAGCGTGGGCAGCAGGAGACCATTCTCCTGTATCCAGACCATGCTCTGCAGACCGCAAAGCTGGTCTTTGCTCCCTGCGGAACACCCCCGGGGATCAAATATGTGCCAGAAGGTCTGGCACGGAAGGCCGCCATCTCCACTACCAGCAATTCGTTGCTCTCTCTAGCTAAGATATACCAAGACGGCATGTCTAATATTTCCAGCTCCGGTGTTCCCAGAGCTGCTCCAGGCGTTCGCGATATTCTGGCACTTTACTATCTTTCTCTTTCTCTTCAGCCAAGTCCGTCCACCGCGAATAATGTGGGTATCTTGCTGGCTGGCATCCAAAACAATGCGCCCAAGAAAGTTCTCCCCCGTCCAAGCGGAGAGATGCAGCATCCCGAGATACCTGGTGTGGTTCCCGGTACGGGAATATCGTTGGCTCTTGCGTATTACAACTACGGTCTACACCTTGATTCGCGACATGCCCATCTTTACACGAATCTCGGAAGCCTTCTCAAGGATATTGGCCAGTTGCAAGCGGCTATCCGAATGTACGAACAAGCTGTTCATTGCGATAGTAACTTTGACATTGCGCTGGCGAACCTGGCGAACGCAGTCAAAGATGCCGGCCGCGTCAACGATGCTATCGTCTATTACAAGCGTGCCGTCAAGGTGAATCCTGAATTCGCCGAGGCAGTGTGTGGCCTAGCCAACGCCCTGAATTCTGTGTGCAATTGGGTTGGCCGCGGTGGCATTGGCAACGGCTATGGATTCCGAGACCGGTGGCATGTCGATGAACAGGGTATGATCCGCGACGCATACACCATTGAAACCGGGACTGGCTGGATCAAACGAGTTGTTGAAATCGTTGACCGTCAACTCAAAGAAGGGGAAGCTTGGGGTCGTGGTTTGCTTACTTCCAACGTGATCGAGCAGTTGTGCGCGCAACTGGCTCCCGCGGCCGGTTCGCGCGGCCATGTCGCTTTTGGCACTCTGGCTGAGATTCTACAGTCGTGGTCAGGTCAGCGGTGGGAGGGCTCTAGGATTGTCAGGATCGTGGAGCGTGCCATCAGGGCGATTACCTGGCAGTGGTATCAGGATCGGTACGTTTATGGCAAGGAATACCCTCTGACCAAATATCGGCGTCCACAGCTTCCCTCTGGCCTGACAGCGCCAAATGCACCGACAGTTCTGCCTTTCCATACCTTCACCTGCCCGCTGTCGGCGAAGCAAATTCGGCAAATCTCGCAGCGGAATGGGCTTCGTATCTCTTGTTCCACCTTGCGTTCGCCGTGGCTGCCTGCTACTGTTTTCCCTCCGCCCCCCCCTCCGCACCCTTACATCAAGGTAGGGTATGTATCATCAGACTTCAACAACCACCCGCTTGCCCATCTGATGCAGTCCGTCTTTGGATTGCACAATCCTTCGCGGGTGAAAGCATACTGCTACGCTACGACTGTGAGCGACAAGTCGATCCATCGGCAGCAAATCGAGAAAGAAGCACCGGTCTTCCACGATGCTAGTGGTTGGCCCGTCGATCGACTTGTCAGGCAGATCGTTGAAGACGGAATCCATATTCTCATCAACCTGAATGGATACACCCGCGGTGCCCGGAATGAGGTCTTTGCTGCTAGGCCCGCTCCAATTCACATGTCTTTCATGGGCTTTGCAGGGACTCTTGGGGCGGAATGGTGTGACTACATCCTTGCGGACGAACTTTCTATTCCCCCTGAGACCCTCTCACCCGGGCGGCGCAACGTACGGATGGAGGACCGGCTACTGGAGGAAGACCACGGTGAGGATCTTGAGAACTGGGTGTATGGTGAGAAGATTGTCTATACCCGCGACACATTCTTCTGCTGTGATCATCGGCAAAGCGCTCCCGATGCTCAAGATCCCCGCCTTGCTTGGGATCAGGAGCAGACCCGACGATGGCGCATGCGAAAGGAATTGTTTCCAAATCTCAGCGATGACACCATCATACTTGGGAACTTCAACCAGTTGTACAAGGTAAGTGCAGCACAGGAAAGTAAATCGGCTCGTACTAACATTCTGTCAGATTGAACCCACGACTTTCCGCACTTGGCTACGCATCTTGGCACGAATCCCTAATGCCGTCCTCTGGCTCCTCCGCTTTCCCGACCTCGGCGAACAGAACCTTCGGGAGACAGCCGTTGCCTGGGCTGGGGAAGAGACGGCATCTCGGATAATCTTCACCGACGTTGCGCCCAAGAATACGCACATCTCGCGAGCAAAGATCCTGGATCTGTTCCTCGACACGCCTGAATGCAATGCTCATACAACAGCGACCGATGTGTTGTGGAGCGGCACGCCCCTCTTGACACTTCCTCGGTACAAGTACAAGATGTGCTCGCGTATGGCAAGCAGCATTCTGAGCAGTGCTCTGCCGAAGTCTGACGCAGGCCGCGAGGCTCAGTCGGATTTGATCGCCATGTCGGACGAAGACTATGAGGACAAGGCCATTCGCCTGTGTCACAGTCTGAAGTACCAGCCTGGAGGACAGGGACGTGCGACGGGCAGGTTAGCCGACCTGCGCCGGATGCTGTTCGAGGAGCGGTGGTCCAGCAGGCTATTCGATACGAAGCGTTGGGTTCGAGATCTTGAGGACGCCTACGAACGAGTTTGGCAAAGATGGGTGAATGGCGAAGAAGGCGATATCTGGTTATGATGTGCACATCAGAATATACCCCTTGAGCGATTTTGTTTCTTGTTGGACATGGTGTGATGTTTATTTATATTTATTTCTCTCTTGATCTTCGGCATGTAGGTCTATGTCTGTGCATATGACCCTTTTTGGTCTGTCAATTTTGGGTATTTTGATCTTGTGTGCGTGGAATTTTTGCATACTGGCGTTGGATGTGTGTGTGTGTCTAAGGAATGGATCAATGATGATGACATCCCGGAGGCTGTATGATTGTGTATCAGCAGCTTGGCGGGCATTTGTTTTGGGTTTATGACCGTGATTGATATCTTGGGTAGGCGTTGTGGTTGCGATGATGTCTGGGACTCCCCGAACCTGTCGGGTTGAGTATTATGATAGAGCGAGTGGTGACTTTGGACATGATTCATATGCCGTATTTATATTTACTTCCCTGTATTGGATCGATAAGGTGCTGTTCAGGTAGTCAGACTTATGCATGATAGAGTTGCAGCTGGTTATCAGAAGTTGTGCATATGCAGTATCATGACTGGAGCTTTAAATACTGCCGTAATTGCTAACTCTATATGTCGAATATCTACACTTACTCCACCAGAGGGATGCCCCTCTTCTTCCTCATCAATACAATCGTCATATTCATAATCTCGCATCACAAGATGCTACAGAGTATCTGAAAGCAGCGCGCAGAATTTGCCCTGGGCTATAATATAAACCAAAGTACTACCATACAATAACGCTCACTGAAAAAACAAAGCTCACTATGAACATTCGAAAATTTCTTCAAGCTGCCTGTCGGTAGCTAAGGCAAATAAAGCATTCAGAGTGTCTCCGTCCTTCGCCATAATATTTTTCATTATGTCGGTATATCGTTGAACCTCGACTGGGCCAAAGTCACGGTAGATTCTTCGAACCCCTTGTCGCATTGTTGCTATGGGAAGGAGCTTGCGTTTCTTGAGAGTTAATAGCACCAGTGCTATATCAAGCGCATCGAAACCATTGAAGCACTCTCTGGCCACATTGACTGCATATTGTATGTCGAGCTGGGTTGTTATATGCTCATAGGACCATGCTGAACGAAGAAACCCAACACGTTTTGCCCATAAGTTCCTCGCAGAATCGTCCGCAAATTCAGGATAGAGATCATATAATCCCGCCTGCATGAGCTGCTTCAACGACACCACACTAGACCGTCCAGCATGATGCAGAATTCCTTGCGACAGATACTCCCCATTGTCATAGTATGGGTATCCTAAACGAAAAGCAAAAAAGCTCCGCATACTCTGATCAAGTTCAGGAGCATCACGATACGCTCGAAGTAACGACTTGTCCCGAGCGAACTGTCCACGAGGAAACTTCCTCGTGTCGACTATGCATATGTAGACTTCAGCGGGGTCACAGCATCGTTTGTTGCATTTCCAGATTGCGTACTGGATGACATACAGTAGAGAACCACTCCATGACATCAGATTGTCGGCATCCTCAGATGTAAACCACTTCAGATGATTGTATAGCATTCGGGTTGATTCTCTTGGAGGTCGAGAGAGGAGATCGGTTCTGCTGCGCTCTGATTCCGCGGAAATGCTTTCGGCGGAAGCTACAACATGGTGGTCACTCCGGCCAGAGCTTTCCTCGTCAAATGCCCTAAACAAGTATCGCGGAACCTCTGCAAGATGGCAATTGGGGAGACGACTCGCTGGCGGATAAAATAGCGTGGTGGGCTCATCAGGACATTTACTTAATGCGCGAACCCAAAACCCGATCCACTCTTCCCTTTGCTGCTCCTTCCTCTCAGCTTTACGCTCGCATTGCACGCGATAGGCATCAGCATCGCTATCGTCGATAGCAAGTCGATTTTCATGCTCATAGTATTCCTCGCTTTCGAAGTCAGGGTCACCCGGCTCTTCAGAGCTGGTTTCTTCTAGGGATTCAAAGTACTCATCAGAATGCAGAGTCCCAGAAGTACAAAGAGCCTGAGCATAGCACTCCTCCAAAATTATTCGCAGAACACTGCGCTCGTCGGTGGTTTCATCATCAAGTACATTGCCAGCAATCCTCTTCACTTCATCACTAAAATGTGATAGCATTTTCTGCTCCAGTGTCCATGGGCTAGCAAGCGATGTGAGGTATGCCATGATGTAGTTTTCAGTGGCATCGCTGAACTTCTTCCTGGCCTTCGCAAGGGCAACGGCTTCTCTTCTCAGGGTGCTTAATCTTGCAATGTTCTCGCCGCTAGGGGTCTGTGTGCCTTCGATCACGGTCCTGACATGTGCTGCATTCGCTGAGGTGGATTGGCACGATGTTTTCAGGTCCCAAATCGTCTTCAGGAGATCTTGAGTCGGATCTGAGCGGCTTGGAGTTGATCTATCGGCAAAGTTCATTCCTCCGAATGTATTAACAAGGCTGGTAAACTGTTCGGCCATGCTTGCAATGCCAGACAATACACGTACTCAGCACAGTGGGGTCAGCGAGCTAGAAATGGTCGCAGCTGCGTTGCAGGGATAGGCAAAGATAAATGGGGATTCTGTTTTCTGATCGTGAAAGCAAAACTGATCTCTAGTTATATGCATATTTATATCTCATGGTCGTCTTGTTGGGATTGCTAGACAGCCTCGTTTCCATCCTGTGCCAGGCACCAGTCGCGGCTGGCTTCAAGCCTTATGGCAATCATGTCCATGTGACTGGGGCGCAGTAGTGGAAGTGTTGGAAAAATGTCCTCTCTCCATTCTCTCATGGCTATGGCTAACATGGATAAACGAGACAACAATTAAGATAGAGGGAGGTCATGGTGCACTTACTGCCGTACAGGCTAAGCATAAAAATGACCGGTAATGTATCGGCTACGTATGTACCATGGTGGAGATACAAACATCAACAAGTCGGCTGGATGGTGTAGTTGGTTATCACGTATGCTTCACACGCATAAGGTCCTGGGATCGAGCCCCAGTCTAGTCACTTCTTTTTGCATTTTTTTATTTGACCTTGACAGTTTTCTATCTATTAGAAAATGTGTTTAGAGTGTGCTTTCGGACTCTGGTTGATTGATTGTGTCTTTTTTTTTTTCAAGTTGTGTCATGCTATGTGGGTAGTTGGGTTGGGTTGGGTTGGGTTGGTTATCTGGCGCTGTACATGATTTTGTTACTATCATCATGAAGGTCTTAGTATATATCTACGCGGACCGTAGATTAGTAAAATCATATCGAAAAGATTATTTTTCTTGCAACCAAAGTAAAATTACACCGCAAGTTCCATCATCCCCTCATCTAACATGATCTCCCATCGCTCCCCAAATAACAAAACCCTACCATTAATCCACCCCTTTCAGCGATATGCCCACATTTAGCAGCCGCTACCACCTCTCGCTTCATGCTGTGCCGATTGTTGTCTCCAATTAAGGTATTCCTCCCCCTCTAAATATAATAATTCATTATAAAATGAGGGACTTATTGTGATATGCCGCCGACGGTGTACTGAAATGACACAGAAGAGAGGATTTACCGGAGCAATGCACTCGTTGATCACCTCATCTCAGCAAAGGCGAATGACAGTCTCCCATCGTGCATGTCCGCAACATAAGAAAAAGCATTTGCTCTGCCTTATTCTCATAAGTTATGTCTTAGCATCATGATATCAAATTCGTGTCGAGAAATCATGGGAATAGGCGCATGTAGAAAACACGACAAGCGCCGGCAGCTGCGAAGAGATGACAAGGAGACCAGTTGTATTCGAGGTGACATACTTCTTTCTGCCTTGCTTCCGAAGGAGTGTGTTCTGATTCCACATGTATACTACCTGTTGGCTTTTCACGGGGAGAGACAGGCTTGGAATGTAGATATGATGTTGTTATTGTAGTTAAGAGGCTGCGCGTGTTTCTCCGTACATCATGTACCTGACGATGTGGATGTATCGCAGATGTTATACCATTGCAGCATGTTATGGGTCATTTTGCATAACTTGCAGGCCGCTGAGTCTGCCACTTTGCCACGCAGACGAATGGTCGGAAAGTCGACGACTCTTGCTAGACACCCAGACGCTGATCTGGAGCAAACCCCAATGACAGTCGCTATACTATTTTCTCCCCATCTTGCATTACATTCAATGCTGTGGGATCAACACCGGAAACATATTTGGCGCAGTTGTAGACATCCCTAGACCAATGGTTAATGTCATCAAGAACATAGTATTGGACCTCTTATGTGCCGAAGACTTCCCGCGAAGATGGTTCTGGCTTGGTAGTGAAAGCCACAAGCCTCGGAATCCTGCTGGGTGTATTTGACGTGACAGGTGTCCGATTAATTCGTCTCTGGCAGACTTCTGATTGAGACGAGGTAATTCAGGCAACAAGATGATCCTATATGGATATCGCAGCAGACATCGCAGCACATAGCGCAGGTGACATCGCTAGGTATGCTATGTACTTATTCGTGGATACACTGTCGCTTGCCATCAATAAAAAGAGCGTGATCAAAGATTAGTTCTGTTTTCTTTCAACGGCCCCTGAACCTCTCTAGGAACTCCCAGTAGGAACAACTGCAGGATAAATTTACTGCCATGAGTCGTTAGCCAATAAATGCTGAGACATACTCCCCGTCTGACTCGGATGTCCATGATAATCGTTTTGGCCCACTTGGCAAAGATATGACATGTATAAGCACCAGCGAAGGTTCAAGTGCTTGAATTATGTTCACAATTGCGTGCGGTTCGCAATTCAGTGTACCATGTAGTCGTTGAAGTTGATGAAATATTTCCTTGTAACCCAGGGAGAATAACATATTCCACTTCAACTGGTAGCTAGATTAGGTTAAGGAATCATACCAGAGAGTACACGATAGCTAGCTGTCATGATAGGGCTAGATGTAGAACAGCAAAGTGCCTATGATATCGGCCATTAACAAGTCACACGATGACCTGGTGAGCTACTACAATGTTATCAACGATTGATGTAGCTTAGGGCCCGAGGCATGCGTCTGGAGGTCTCTGCCGTGGCATGGAGTATCCTATGTCCACTAGACCATAATCTTTCCAAGAAGTGGATAGGATGCCCAGCTCCAATAGCGCCATGCTTCGATATGATATTTTATCTCAGTATGTCCAGGCTTGTAGGTCATGAACGACCCTAATTCCTTCCCATGTATCACACGAAGTTCCTCATATGCTGATTATGGATCGTGGTAGTCGTACCCTAAGCCGGGCTAGGATTCTGTCTGTGGATAGCGAAGGACGGAGGGAGACTGGGCCGTATCGGCGCATGTGCAGGATCAGCTGTCATGGGAGATGGATAACCGCATGGAGTAAGAGGACCGGTATGAGTGTCGAACATAGTTGCTGTGATAGATAATTAGCAGCCTATGTGTGACCAGTGCAGACTGGCCCTTATCTGTATAGATAAGCAAAACGCGTTCCCGGTATGCTCACCCATAAGACCTCTTCAAACGCATATGCTGGGCATGAGTTATCGGCCATAAGTTGTTTGCAAACGAGGTTTGCAGAACAAGAGTTGAACGATGAAGAGGACTTGCCCGCTCAGTGCTCGCAGAGCTAGCTGCTAGGATATACTGGTAGTGGAAGTAAGAGGATAAAACCAAGTGGTATGTCCTGACCGATGCGTTCGCTGAATCGTAGGATAGAGCTATGCGTTAACATGTCTCTTCAAATAATATCTGCAGTAAAGTGTCCATTTCTACTGGAAGGTCCAGGTTCTTGTGACACCCTAGATGGTCTTGATTCGGATATAGCTTCCTAACTCATTAATGACTAGATCTCTTTGTCTAAAGCACATGTCGATATATGAAACAACCCACTTATCCTCATCATGCCCTTTCAGAAGAGCTTTGTATTAGCTCGCCTCTGGAAATGAATGAAGCCAGATGCTTCAAGATCCGGTGAACCCCAGAGACGGTGTTTTTGTTTGGAGCCATTGTGCTATTGCCCTTGCATGTAAGCCGTCGCAGACCTCGCAGCAGCTTCTATTCCGACCCAGTAGCTGTATCTGTGGCTATCCTCCAACGGTAGACGCATCTTTAGAGCCGGTAGGAGTTTGCTCTGGGTCGTACTAGGATAATCAAAAAATGCCATGACATCTTCTGTGGTCTAGTGTAAGCATCGGCGCCATTACCGTGTTTGAACATGTCTTCTATGGTTGTTTGATGTTCCTGAACAACGAGGATTCGAAGACTCTGGATGTGTACAGACGTTGCTGACGGGTTGGGGGCGGGGAGGGGAGAGGGTCAGGTATTGTTCGTCTCTTCTAGAGTCTGCAATGTTGAGAACTAGCTTTAGTATGGGATGAATATTCTGCTATGATTATAGAGATATTTGGAACTGCAATATCTAAGACATAAAGAGGATATATGACATTGTTGGTAATAGGAATAGCCCTGCCGTGCGATATGGGGGAAAGGATAGACTTAGTATCAGCGCTTTAAGATAGACAGCACTTGCTTGTATCTCTATAGAAGTATACAACGGGAGTAAAGAGAGAAGAAGAGATAGAAGCAGCAGAGCTGAGAATTAATACAGACTCATTCTATCACTGCGAAGCATAATTCACCATATAGTTGTCAATATCAACATCATTCAAGCCCTTCATTGACCACATCAACGCCTATACTCACTCCAAGCAGTGACTACTTAATACTGAATCATGCATAAGCATCATTAACTGATCACAAGGCTGCACCAACACCCCTCTCCCTCCCAGACACCCAAATCCCATCATTCGCCACTTCTGACCTATCCAGCACCATCCATCCACCACCTCCCAAACCGTACTTTCATCCTTCGACCACTAGATAGATAACACCGCGTGGGACAAGAACCCGGTGGCATCACATGCAGCCCTCAACGGGGAATTCCAAATCGCATACCTTGCTGCAAAGGTGCGGTTTCCAACCCGCGTGCAGGGATAGTCAACGACCGTCGAGCCAGCATGAGCACCTACCTCCTCCTTCTCCTCTCCTTCAAGAGCAGCAAGGATGGCGTATGTATGACAATGACCAGCATTCCAATCCTTCGACGCAAAAGCAAGCGGCTTCAACAGGTAATCCCCACTAGTTTAGCTAGCGGAGGGATGGGGAATGGGGAATGGGGATGGGATGGTTGCGTGGCTCGGGATCGGGGACCTTTTCTCCTCGCCTTCGGGGTTTATCATCGTTGGTTTTAGTTTGGGTTATCTGTCAAACAGGCTGGTCGTGATGTCAGCTAGCCAGCCTCACTAGCTAATCAGCTAACTACCCCGACCTGAGTCTGAGTCGGAGTCTTCATGGATGAGTCGAGTGGCACTAGTCAAGAAAGATTTTTGGGTTCGGTTAGCTCGTCTATTACCTACATAAGTGAGTAAGACTAGTAAATGGATGGCAGAGGAGTACCCAGCTGAAGTCTTGACAATCCATCTGTGTTGAGCAGCGTAGTTATTGAATCTAGA